GCACTTTCGTGGCCGACCCCGACGCTAGGTGGCTATCGCATTTTACACCACCCCCTAGTGACCGTCGTTCGCTTATTGTAAATAACAGCAAATATTACTCAACGTACCTGCCCCCCGATCAAGGCCCAAAACCTAGCCCAATTTCATCACCTTCCCCAACACAGGAAACTCTAAATGCCGATCTCGCCATGCGGGCAGCTTGTAAACGATGAATTGTAATCAAACTACACTTATTAACCCTGTCCAACTGTACAGTTTTCATTATCCCTGCAAATGTTTTGGCCTGATGAAGAGTTGCCGAAACCATATGTTTGCCAAATTGACTTTTCAAATATCATTTGGTTGTACAGGTCGTTTTGTAGTCATCCTGTGTCTGTTGATATTGCATATATCGCAGCCTATGCGCTCTGTCTTCCAGCTTACTTGAATTGTGAGCCTGCTTCAATTTGAAGAACGCTTTCTTGTAACCTCGATTCTTTCTCATTGAAGGATTACAAAGAAAGCTCTGAGCAGATCGAGGAAACTCCACTGGAGCTTCCTAACTCTGACTTATGGACAGAATGGCAATTACGGAAGCTCTAAGAGCTAACCATTATTACCTCACTAAAATCGCCTCTTTTGGTTAAAGCAAAGGGATGGAGGGAGGGTAAATAATGGACGGAAGCAGTAAAAAGTATCCATTACCGCAAAAAAATGCAGCTTGAAGATAGTGGAGTAAGAGCCAAACTTACCATGATGCATACAGCGTAAACCTTTTAGTATGCAGTCCTGTCTAGAAACGAAGTTCGGCGCCGCCTTTGCATACACTCATATGTTTGTTGGGAATATTTGCTTCTGTGTGAAAATGTTTGAATTTGTATCCATCTTTTTAAAGTAGCCAGAGGCAACTGCCTATGGAGATCCAAAAAAACCTGCGTATACGATTTACGTCTGGCGTTGAGGGAAGAGAACAGCGTTTCCATAATCATTCTGCTCAATCAGTAGACATAGGTCGCTTCCTCTTTTCTCAGTCAAACATGTGGGTTATTTTGGAGGCTCTGCGCAATTGCGCTTTTTCAGCGTCATCATGAGGTGGCGGTGACGGCAGTTGTAAAGGGTTTCTGCTACTGCTACTGTTTCTTACTCATGTCTCTGATGACGAATCCGCGACGGATGTCGAAACGTCAGACGAATAAACGTATTGTCCCAGCGATCGAGTCCTCTTCCTCTCAGTTGTAAGGGGTGTCTGCTCAGATCCATATAAGGGTTATAAATGACGTTTGAAAACAAAACTGTGAATGGCACCGGGAATTTTTGAAACCCGAAATGTAGGTTGGCCGTCCGGTAGAATCCTAGTTGATGAATCTGTCGGGTTATCCGTTCTCTATAAGCAGATCCTGGATTTTCCGGAGCTCTATATTAATAATGTCTGCCGAGCAGATTTTTTCTGGCTCGTTGCGAGAAGCAGCGAACTAAGTTAGGCTTCCGCTGGTTAGTTAGAAAACTGGTAAAGTTTGTATAATGTCCGGACCAGATTTACTTTCGGTAAAGGCTCCTTTGGACGCTACCGTCATGTCTTCGAGTTCGGAGGACATCCAAGAAGGGAAGCGCACTTGCCATCTCCACCTCCCAGGTGAACTTAATGTAGGGGTGTACTTGAGTTACAGTAACGGGTAACAGGTTTCTGCTAATATCTATGATGATGAGTCCGCGACGGATGTCGAAACGTCAGGCGAATAAAAGTATCGTCCTTGCGATCGAGGCATCTTCTTCTCTTGATTAATAGTATTTAGAAGCGCATTTTTATCGGTTTCTGTTTGGACGATGGCGAAGTTATCATCGGCAGATCGACCATAGTGTTTTAACGCCTGGATCATTTTGTTTTACCGAGAACGATTGCATATGCTAAGATAAAAAAGTGTAGCCATGCGATGCTGCCATTGCGTCGTGCGATTAAGATTTGAAGCAAACCGATTTTATGTCGTCCAATGTGAGTGAATGCAAGCATTTGCGAGAGAAAAGTTGTGGTTATCAAATTATCAAGCATTTTTAAAGGGATAAATCAATTTTAAATAACCCCTAAGGAACAACAAGTTCGAAAGATAAACACGACTGTTTGCTTACTCGTAAAATACTAAAACAGTTTTTCTGCTTTTTATGAACATTAATTTAAGAATAGTTTGATAAAAACATTCCGAAATATGGCACCCGTCTGAAAAATTTCATTTGAACGTCACTTTTAAGTGGGGAGCTGTTCAGAGAACGGTGCTGTTTGATAACCGACTTTTGGGCTGGAAGAGCATTTACCTTCTGCTCAGTTGACCCAATTGTAAAAACTTTACGGCCATGGTCGAGTCGAACTCTTACAGCAGGAAAACCTATTGCGCAGCCAACGCTCTACTTGTTGAGCTATGAAGTTCACCGTGAGCAGTGAATTTAATCACACTTGGTTTGATTTACCCGCCCAACCTACTGCTCGTATGGAATCCACCATCAGAGATACAGCGAGCTGACTGCCCAGGCAGGAATGCCTAAGCAATCATCTAGAATACACCAGAATGACTACTTGGCTCACTTAAGAGTGAGAGCGAGTTTGGCAGACTTGCTTAATTCAGTTAACCCAATTGTGAAAAATTCGCAGCCTCGAAAGGGCCAAATAGACATTGAGTTTACTTTTTGGCCGCTCAGGAGAGGTATGATTGCCTCCGCCTGCAACATTTTAATTCCTTTCATTGGTGTTGGTAGTTTGGACCTGAATCTCATTCAGAAGTAGATGCGATCGTTGGGACAAGAATTTTATTTTCCTGATGTTTCGGATTCTGTCGAGAATCCTTAACCATAGGTAATCGTAGAATAGTGTCAGGCCTGCCCCATGCTTACTATAATTATCCGCTCCTGTAGCTGCCGCTTGAGGTCTTAATTGGTGCGGTGATGGCTTGAAACTTCGCATTCGAGTCATTAATTGCCGCGGTTTCCTTGTCCGTGTCGAATGCGGGCCTGATTATTGCGCCAAACTTATGCTCGCTGTCGTCAGAGTTGTTGCTGGACCCGGCCCTTCCCAGATGACTGATTATCTTTCTTAGGCAATGTTTCAG